TTTGCAAGTGCTGTGTACTTTCCCTGTACATGCTCTGTCTCTTATACACATCTAGATGTGTATAAGAGACAGATATATATGTGCTGCTTCATAAGGGAGAGCATTGTGCTGACAATAGGTCTTTGTCGACTGAATCTGGAGGCAATTGCAGCCGGATACATTCAGGAAAGGAGGGTGGATGGTGGGCGTGTTGTAGACCAGGTTCATGCGAGACTGGGCATGCAAGGCTGATTAACAGGTTTACAGATTTCACAAAATAATATAGTGTTACGATCCTGGTTACTTCTGAAGTGCAAATTCACAAGGAAAGCCAATGCCATCCAATTGCAAAGAAATGAAAGCACTTGCAATGAGATAGAAACCAAAGAAGAAGAAGAAGAAGAAGAAGAAGAAGAAGAAGAAGAAGATGAAGAAGAAGTACACCAGCAAGCCCAGTGATAAATCCCCCTTCTCGCTCCACTTTCCTCCTCCTCCTTGTCTTCGCCAATCTTATTCTTCGCCCAAATAATAATGATAACAATGAGTGGTTGAATCAGAATCAGTATCCGAAGTTCCCCCTTACTGCCAGCACAACTACAGGTCCACCTTAGCCATGGCCTCCCTCTTCTCCTTCCTCTCACAGGCCTAGGCTATGGCGGACTACTAAGGGCCCTGCCCTCCTGTGCAAAAGACAACGCAAAGCAGCCAAGGCCACTGCTCTTCAGGCCACCATGCCTGACTCTGCCTCGAAGCTTCCTTGGTGTGGCACTACCCCAACTGGGCCCTTCCAGATGCAGCGCCTAACAAGGTGATGAAGATGGTGTCCACCATAGCCAGGTAGGTACCTCGCCACTCTCCTCCTTCGCCCCCTTCTTCCTCCTCCTCAAGCTGGGCTCCTTGCCATAGCCAGGCAGAGCGCCCAGCTCCCTTCCTTCCTCGCAGGCAGTGCTCCGAGAACTACCGTCTTCAGCCAAATAGAACGCCCGGTCATTATAGCTGCATTTGGCCCAACTTTCAGTCCAGATGCAGCGATAATGACCGGGCGTTCTATTTGGGTGAAGATGGTAGCGTCTGCTCAAACAGCATGACAACCAAACTTGCATACCCCAAATGAGGTAGAGCGCAGTGCTCTTCCTGGAGATATAGCGGCCTACTTGCCTCTTGGGAGGTGACTTTCAGGCCGCACGGCCTCTAAGCAACTGATACCTCCTCCCTTTCGGAGGGAAAACATCATTGCGGGCTCTGATATCGTCTGTACAGGCCCTAGACTCAGGCTACTTGGACTGGTACCCTCGCCTACCTCTAGTCTACCGCTACTGGGCCTCTAAAAATGCCAACTTTTTGTCTTCTTCTGCTCGGCCTCCAGTCCCGAAAACATCTACCGCTACGTAGAGTGGTACCGGCCTACCTGCTACTTGAGAGTGTTTTTCCTCCGCTGCCCTAAGTGTCACGGGCCTTCTCCACGCTACTTGAGTGCTTTCCCCACTGCAACCCTCAAAGTCACAGCCACAGGTAAGTACCGGCCCCAGCGGGCCTCACAACACGCAAGTTCCCTGCTGCCCACACACACACTCAGGCAGATGTGCACTCAGACAGCACAAGGACCAGCAAACACGCACACACACACACACACAGCCTTAGAAAAAAACTCAGCAGAACGTGGGAATCTCAGCAAGGCATACATTCCAGTGGCAAAGCCCCAAAATCAGCAGTGTTCTCGAAAAAAAAAATAAAAATAAAAAATCAGCAGTGTTCTCAGTCTGTGTTTTGGCGGGTCATTACATTAAAAAAAAAAAAAAA